GCGTCATTCCGCGTCATGTCTCATAATCGAATGTCTTTGTACTCTCTCCTCGTAGCATGGGCAGGTTTTATCGGTTGCCGCGTAATTAGTGTTTACTTTTCTACCACTCTTGGTTCTTTCATTAAAGTTAATACAATTGCTACATTTGTATTCATTTACTGAATTCTTTTTATCACATTTCCTCAGCTCATGTTTTCCTGCACATAAAGGGTTAGTAGTAAATTAGTTCTAATTAGTACCAATGAGCCAATTTGGTTTTCGTAGGGGTTTATCGGTTCGACATGCACAAACCAAATTGGTTTATGATGTCTATGATGCGTTCTCTGAGTCAAAAGATCTTGTGGCCCTTTTTTTAGATATCTCTGGAGCTTATGATAATGTAGATATGAATATATTAAGGCAGAAATTGACGAGTATAGGTATTCCGAGCTTGGTCATAAACAATGCCATTTCGCTTATTGTAATGAGGGAGTGCTACATAAGACTTAGCGATAAAACATTAGGGCCGTTACAAACATACAGAGGTCTCCCACAAGGTGGGATTTTAAGTCCCTTCTATATTGTATATATGTTTATGATTTGGACAGTGCACTTCCGAAAAGTATGGGAATGATTCAATTTGCAGACGACGTGTGTATTTATACTAAACAAAAGTCGGTTGAGGCATGCGTCGAAGCTATGGGAGAAGACGTACAGGAAATTTTTACCTGGGCATACAAAAATAACCTAATGATTTCGGATAGCAAATCAATTGTATGTCCTTTTTCTAAGAAGCATAATCTCCCAGTCGGTAACAGTGTGGATATTGGTGGTTATACGTTTGAAGTGTCTACATCTGTTAAATTTTTAGGATTGATAATGGATCGAAAAATGTTATGGAAATCCCATATCAATCACTTGTTAAAAAAAGGTAAAGGACTCCTTAACATCCTTAGGTGTTTTTCTTCAGTAAAATGGGGTGCTGACCCACAGGTCTGGTTGTTATTCTATCGCTCGTGCATTCGTAGTACAATCGATTTTGGCAGTGTATTTTACGGACAGGCTAGTGCAGGGGTGCTCAAACTTGAACTGCTGGCGATCTACCTCAATATTTTTAGACTACTTACGATCGACTCTGAGAGGCTGCAAGTGTGTGTGATGCAGGGTTGTCGTACATACACGATACACCCTACCTACCTAGGTAGGGTGTACCGTAGCATATATAGATATTAGCTTTCTGCACAATATAGGTACATTATTTTAGTCAAGGTTTGGGTTAGGTTTAGTTAGGTTCTTCTCTACAATATCAATGAAAAAACTCATAGTTATTCAAAATTGCGAGTTTATTGGNTTTAATAATAAACTTTGTATCGACGTAGTATCGCCATCAAGTTACAATTCAGAATGACTCCAATTCCTGCAGGCACAACATTTATATCGGCGTGAACGAAAGTCTCGAATGTTCCCGTCAAACGCGCCGCCCGAAACTAGACTGTACTGTCTCTCGTTGTTTCTAGACTAGACTGTACTGTCTACTAGTCTAGAAACAACGCGGCTTTTCTTTGACAAGTGCCGCGCGTTCCTTTGATAAAGCCACCTTTTGCCGCAAGCAGTGTTATTTTATTACGTAATACATTTTTGTAGTTTAGTTACCTACCTACTTATTAAAAAATTTTTTCTTCTCGAGATCTATTAAAAACGCACTCGCGATCGACTGGTCGATCGCGATCAACCGTTTGAGCACCCCTGGCGCTAGTGAGTGTCATCTCAGGAAATTGGATGTTTTACGTAACAAATGTTGAAGACGTTGTCTTGGTGCATTGCCTTCTTTGCCTATAAGAGCCTTAGAGGTCGAGGCGTGTGAACTGCCTCTTGCAGGTAGAAGAAAAAACTATCCCTAAATTTTTTAGTAAAAGTGTCGGCACTTTGCCACGTTGTATATGATATTATTTCTGTAACTACTATTAAAACATTTACCTACAAATTTTGGGGAAAAAAGAAAACACCCCCCCCCTTAATAGACGCGTACATAGAAATGAGTAAAGAAAACAATATAAATATACATAAATCACATTTACATCCGTCCACCTTTTCAGATTATAAACTCTTAATCAAAGCAAGAAAAACTCATTTCTTCAGAGATTATTCCTATTTTCCTACCCATATAAGGAATTCTATATTTAACTCTGACATGGCAGTGTTTAACCCAAATGCTCATCTTATTTTTACGGATGGGTTGCTGATGAAAGGAGATGTAGGATGCGCAATATATGATTCCAATCTAAAACAGGGGAAGCAATTTAAACTCCCCCAAATGACCAGTATTTTCTCGGCAGAACTATATGGCATTCTGAAGGCTTTAGAATACATTTTAGAAAATGAGTTAAATAGTGACAATTTTATGATAATGTCCGACTCAAATAGTGCACTACAAGCTATAGAGGGGCATAATCTCAATTCCCAAAATTACATGATCAGAGATATCGTGGACTGTTTAGATATCTTGGAACAACATAGGAAAATGAAGGCCTGCCTGTGCTGGGTTAAGGGCCACGCTGGTATTGAACAAAACGAAATTGTTGAAAAGTTGGCTAAGAATGCTATAAAACGAGGTAAATGGAACAATTTCCATTCCCATGGCAGGACGTTAAAAGTTTTTTTCATGCCAAACTTTCCCGGAAATGGAATCGATAGAAGTAATACGGGCTCGTTCTATTTTAAAATTAATCCAAACGTAAATAAAAAACCTTGGTTCTACCTGAGCACGACCAATAAAGGAAATTGTACGATAATAACCAGAATGAGACTTAATCATGGAATATGTGGCGCTTATTTACAGAAGATCGGTCAGAGGAACAGTAAAGAGTGTCAGAGCTGTGGGACAACAGAAGACCTAGAGCACATATTTACGGTTTGTTCACAGTATGAAAAAGAAAGGAAAGAAATGTTTGATGAACTGTATAAACTAAAAACGTTGGATAAACCATTTGATTATGGATGTCTACTGTTTCCTAAAGATCTTTGTATTTATACAAATATCGTTAAATTTGTCCATGAGTGCCACATAACTATTTGAGACGATAACTGTCTCTGGCCTGCTGCCTGGGGGTGTGTGGCGCTGGGGTGGCTCTGGTACATGGACATCGATAGCCGTCCCCGATCGGTTTGGAATGTGGGTGGCCAGGCACACACGCACATCCCACCAGGAGATCGGACGTACTTGAGTCAAATTAGAATTTGAGGTGGAGTCCCCTGGTGCCGCATTTTTCCCCGGTGGGCGGGCTGGGGCTCTCTTCTTCCCGGGTGGAGGTGTGGACTTTGCGCTAATGGTGAAAACCAAGGCAAAAAAAAAAATTGGTAATTTTCCTGGCACGGTTATGATCAGAAACGACCAAATTATTTGTTAAATAGATCTGTCAAATTCATCTTCATTTTGTGAGAATTCATCTTGTTGCCTGCAGGATTTTTCAACCTGCAACTTGGTTGTTTACGATCATTTTATCTGTACGATTTGTTTCAGCTTTTCGCCATCTTCGGTCATGAATTTATGCATCAATTGGTCAGTGATACTTGTATGTTTGTAAGATGTCTTAACATGTTCAATGNGTTGCTTTCTTTTCCAGTCCATCCACACTCGTCGTCCTCCTTATATCATCCAATCCCTCCAATTCAACTCCTCACATCACACCCGTAAAACCCGCTCATCCCCAATCGACCTTATCCTTCCGCAACATACAACCCATACCTTCGAAAGATCCTTTCTGATCCGAGCCCCTAAACTCTGGAACTCCCTTCCCCTATCTATTCGTCACGCTGCCTCCTTCTCCTCATTTAAATCCCATCTTTATAATCACCTCCTCTCCCTCCAAGCAGAGACCTCACGATAACATTTATTATTTTTGTCTTTGTTTAATATACCTCGTAATTTTCTCTTCTGGCCCGCCTTACTGGCATACATTGTGCCACGATTTCTATCTATCTTTTTTTTCCTTTTTTTTTTTTTTTTTTAATTATGTGACTTCATAGAAGGTTATTATATTTTGTCTCATGTAAATTATTCTAAGGGGACACCAGTCCCAGAATAAAGTTATTTTTCTTCTTCTTCTTCTTCTTAACCGATTAAAAATATAATTTAACCAAGTAAATTGACTTTCCTTTTACAATATGAACTAATAGTTTATTTTTGGTAAGTTTTGATTTGTAACAGCTTTTGGATGGTTAGTCTGTGTGTTTTATTCTTAATCATGTCTTTTATATAAGTTTGTAAAAAAAAAGGTGAAAGGAGGCCATCGTTCTAAGCCAGCATGGCGTAATGCTCCCTAAAGGCAAAATAATACACCTGCTAACCACCAGAAAATGAGATCTGAAAAAACCAACGAGAATAGGCGAATCAGAATAGTAGAACTACAAATAAAATATAATATTTTTTTAAAATACATTAACATAAAATACGAGCACACAAGCAAAAATTTAAATTTTCAAGTAATACTACTTTTAACACATAGGTAATATTATATCGACAAATTTTATTTTAATACATATTACATGGCTTATTTAACTATACAAAACTGAATACTTGTTTTCTGTCAGAATATCCTTTATATATATATAGACATATAAAGCTAGAAATAGTATAATCAGGCATTTATTCATTATGCTAAACCTGCATTGGGTCTCTTAGTGGGCCGGTCTTCACTCGCGGATGGTTAGGTTAGGGTACTACTCAAATGAGCAGAATGAGTGAGGAACTGAAGATGGCTCAATGCCGAAATGCGTTTGAGTAGTTCTGCTAATCCGCGAGTGAAGACAGTGTGAGTTCACCTACTTGCAGATCAAACGCCTAGGTCAACTCAGTTATGCATCATATATAAATTAACTATTGAGGATTTTAATGAAATTTAGTCAGCGACTGCTTTATAATATGTGTACAGTTTTTGTATACAATTAACTGTTTGCCATGCTATTAGATCAAAAATTTGGTTGCCTTATTATCTTTTTTTTAAGAGAAACGTAACTGTAAAGTAGAGGGACCCTTCTTGTTTAAAGGGTAGTCCTCACTGCTTTATGGGGGGGCTGGTTCGCCTAGAGCTATGATATTAACTGTAGGGGGAAATAAACAAAAACACAAAAATAAACGGAAATACGCCTTTTATTGCGACAACAAAATCATTTTCGAGTTGTGTAATAAATTAAAATGAGAAAAGGAACATAAGTTCAAAGTAAAGGAAAAGTTACAAATTAAAATGTTCTCACAACAAAGAAAAAAACAAAAAAAAACTGACGGAGCTCCGTATCAACAAAATACAACAAAATTTTACTTCTTTTAAAAATATAACTAAAATCAATTTCTGGCGTCAAAGAACCAATTCGGGTTTGTTGACGGACGGAGGTTATCAGGCAACAGTAACGATACCAGTCTTGGCGTCGGTAGGTTGTCCTGGCAACAGGTCTGCAGAGGGGTAGTGGTGAGTCCCGCGGCGCTTCCAGCGGCGTGGGTCGGAAACAGTCACTTTCCTTTTGATAGTGCTGCGGTAAGGTAGGCGGAGCAGATCTCCAGAGAATCACGAGCGTCGTCGCGCAGGCGCAGAACATAGAAAAGGCCACTTCTCTCGTCACGGCTGAACGGACACTGCCTTCCGTGGATCTATCACCAGTGGATTACCCGCCGCACTATCGCCCGACTAATCCTCCATCATCAACAAATAAACTAAACGAACCTTTCCTTCGGCTCAAATAAAATTAACGTCTCCTTGTTCGGGCTCATTCAAATAAATTAAAATAAATGTCCTGGTGGCGTCAACAGTAACGTAATAAACCCCATTTAACTGGATGTTCATTCATTGAAAGTAAATAAGAACATCACAGCGGATTTTAAAAGTGCCACCTTGTGATTACGAGAATATCAATAAAAATGTTCCCTTTATCTTTTCGCAGATGAGGACCCAGGTCAACCTTATCTATAAGGCGGGATACACATTCTCACTGGCGGCTCTACTGTTGTCGATAATAATTTTTTTCTATTTCAAGTAAGTTGTAATCCTACCATTTACAATTTAGATTATATTTTTGCTATATATTATATATTTAATCAATGCGTAAATTATTTAGATATACATTAAAGGATTTCAATATATCTTTGAGTTTTTCCGTGAACAAGCTAGGTAATCCTGGGACAAGAACCAGATTACTTGATGGATAAATCGAATTTCGTTGAGAGAAGTGGGTCAGAAATTCCAATGGTAAGAATAGATGATACAGGCCAATGATCAAAGGAGGTCAAAGATCCCAAGGGACAAACTCCTGATGATTAAATTCCTTCGTAGTTACTAGATGTTTTTCCCCAATTTCTATAAGAAGCTAATAGAAAAACCGTTGGGTCACGTCCTATCAATTTTCGACGGGTATCAGAATTTTGCCAGTAATTTAATGTTCATCCTAATCAACTTTTACTAAAATCTCACGTTGGATATTTAGTTATTTTACCTCTTCCAAGAAAGGGATTGCTTGATGTTTGTCGGGAACAGTCTGTTGCTCTTTTTCACCTTCTCTGTGGCTTGTGAATATTGTCTTTGACAGTTCATTCTCCCAGGCATGTATGTACTAGTCGCTGGATTGGATTGGTGTTGATTGTTTGATACTACTTCCTTGATTCCCACCTTCTTTCTTTCTAAGGAGATCGTCAAAATCTGAGCCGGAAACGAGAAAACATCCTTACCCAATTGGTTAATAGGTCACACCGGTTTACACGCGCGCACATTCTCCTGGGCCAAAGCACGTTCAGGGACAACTTATGAATGAGAAAGGATGCACAATGTTTTTGAGGATGGGTTTTTATTGTATGTAGGTATGTTTTATTTTGTTTGAGTGCGTGTATTTATTAGTGTTAAATATAGCGTTATCATCGCCTCTCATCAGTTTGTGTGTGTGTGTGTGTGTGTGTGTGTGTGTGTGTGTGTGTGTGTGTGTGTGTGTGTGTGTGTGTGTAAATGCTAGCGAGCGTTTAACGGGGTAGGTGACAACGGCAACACATTTGGGAGGGAATGAAACCCTTCGGGGTGAAAGTCCTATAATAATGTGTGTTGTTTAGTGACCGTTAGTTAATGATTAGTTGGAGATCGTCAACTAACTGTAAATTTCGTTTGGTCAATTGGTTGTATTAATTATTACAATAACTAACTTTAAATTAATTGAAAATAATATAAATAATAAATTTGCACTTTAACATTGATTTAATTTTATTATTTTCTTGCTCGTCGAAGTAAATACATAGTTATATATTTTCTTTGTAAAACCATTGTTTAATTAAAGAAGTATTTCTGATCGATATAACTCTTCTGTGTAATTTCCGGCATGAACTGCATGAGATTTAGAGAAGGCGAGGAGTTGAGTGGGGCGATTTATTATTGTACGGTGTACAAAGGGGATATGAGAAAGGCCTTTGCGGAGGAGGGAAAACAACATTTATTACCTCGAAACTGGATACTTGTTAATCGACTGAATAAACTTCGATTTAATGGCAGCTTTGCATAATACTCATTCAATAATAATAGTTTATTATTCTCAGATCGTTGACATGCACTCGGATACAGATACATAAAAACCTTTTCATATCGCTGGCCGTGAACAATCTCCTCTGGTTGGTATGGTACGAAGCTGTTGTCGACAACATACCTGTTTTATTGTCGAACGGAGTAAGTTAAAAAAGTCAATTCCCTTCCGTGCCACATATTTCATTTTTTTATTTTCCAGATTGGATGCCAAATACTTCACGTCCTAGTCCAGTATTTTATGGTCGCCACTTACCTGTGGATGTTCTGCGAAGGGCTTTACCTCCACACCCTCCTAGTCGTCACTTTTGTCACCGAGTCGAAAGTCATGCCCGTACTGCATCTGATCGGATGGGGCGTCCCTGCCCTCCTCGTCACAGTCTATGCTTCCCTCAGGGTTTCAACGAAAGACGATACCTTGCAGTAAGTACAAACCATATTACGCTGTGTCCATGGATAAATCGTGACGAAATAACATGCTAGTCAAATTGCCCTATGGATGCAATTAAATACAAATCCGAATTAATTCATCACTAAGTATTGAGGGTTAAACCCATTCTCTAATCCTCAGTTTCTTTTAATACCCTTATTTTAAGAGGTTATAGTCTCTTCGTTCCTTCATGGAAATCTTAATGCATATCTCGCTCGTTACATTTTTATGGCAAAACATTAAAGGATTATAGGATGCAATCGTAAGAACGTTGAAGGTATCTTGAAGAGACTGGGAGTCTCCGGAGGACCCGAAAATTTGTGAAACCAGTTATACATTACTTTTTCTTATTCACCGGCCCTCAAATTAACACAAATCCCCTCTACCCTTTAAACTGTTCTTTCCTATGAGTTGCTATTCCTCTTTCTATTTAAAACCTCATGGTTATTGTAAAAGCTTGAAAAACTGATAAAATTATCCGATGATCCTTGACAAACCCCAGTGTCATTTGTCGATTTGGTGTTTTTATCCAATCGACCGTTAAAAAAAATGACCTAATATATTACAGACTAAAAGGAAACGAACCAACGATCTCACGGACAGATATGTTGTATGCGATGGATCAACAAAAACCCAGATGACTTCAACCATCAAAGACGCCGATACACACCCCTTTCACGAACTTTAAAAAGAAACCAAAGATATCCTTGGCCATACACTGAAGATGACGAGAAATCTAAGTACATCTGACGTACCAAAATACCGACACCTTGATACCCTTACATTTGAGGTTTTGGGGACTGACCTGGAGGCGATATATTGGGTCTCTATTTATCAGTGCTCATCTATCGATCATGATGGGCTTCTTAACCTCCAATCTTCTTCGCATCCTAGATAAGCACGCTTTATTAAAAACATCCTCTATCCGTCGCCCCCTGCTCCTTGGATGGATGAATGAGAAATAAAAAACTGTGGAGCGGCAAGAAAGGGGGCCAAAATTCTAGAAGACCACCACCTACCGGGTCATTCGCAATAAAACCTAATCCACCTCCATCATGCCAAATTCAACTGCTATCGAGCAACTCTCTCCACCACCCTAAATGCTATAGCAAAGTGGAACCTACTCCGAAAACTCAGTCTTTGTCACCCTGTCAGCACATCCTCTGCCATTCCGGTCATCCCCTGTGAACTAAATTCCGACTTTATTTCTGCCGTCCATAACTTTTGCGGTTTCAATCCCATTTTCCTAAAAGCTCCCTCAGGACTAATTTTTCCTATTTAACTCCTAACGATGAGCTCGAAGCAATATCTAAATCCCATTCTAAGACGACAGGGACTGACGGCTACTCACCAAATTCCTGAAACTCTGCTTCCCAGTTATACTTCCGGTCCTACTTCATATCTATCTATAACTGCTCACTTCAGAACAACACTTATCCACTCCATCGATATAATTCCAAATCCATCCACTCCTAATGACTACCGCCCTATATCTATCCCATTCAATCTGTCCTAACCCTTAAAGAAGTTAGTCCACATCCAAGTCTCCAACCAGCTAGCATATTCCAGTCATCTTAACCCTGTATGCATTTAAATAAAACAAAAGTGTTAGAAAAGCTATTTAATCGTTCAGTCGCTTCCAAATCTTCATGGACCAGTTCACGCCAGACCTTTGCCGGCCGTCATTATTCCCAGTTCCCTTATGGTTGAGTCTGTCACCTTCAGTATATCATCTTGCCAGGAGTCGGCCCTCCTTTTGCCTTCTACTTTCCTTAGCATCAGCTTCTTCTCCAGTGTATCCTTTCTTCTCACTGTCAGGCCAAAGTACTTCAGTTTTGCTTTTAATATAATTCCATCAAGTGAGCAGTCTGGCTTTATTTGTAGAGTATGGTCTGGTTGGTTTGGTTTTCTTGCATTCTCTGAAGTTTCCTCTAGTACTACAGTTCAGAAGCATCTATCTTCCTTCGATACGTCTTCCTTACAGTCCAGCACTCGCATCTATAGGTTTACTACCGGGAATGCCTTTCGTTTGAATTTTGCACACCTTTGTTGTCAATATGATTTTATTGGATTGGCCATTGCAAAGCATATCTATCAATCCAACCATCAGCAGTTTCCAAGTCCTGGTTCTGGACTCTTCATGTACCAAGCAAGCTAATAACAGCAATAATCAGATCACGATTGGACAACAATAATCTGCCCCCTCACTTATAGGTACATAGATATACGACAAACCCCAGCATCTGAATGCCAATTTCTATCATACTTTACTACCTTGAACTCGCACATCGGAGAGGAGAAAGGAAAGAAATTCACACAAGGAGAGAGGAATTCATAAAAACCTTAGTGAATAATGGTATCTCCCTAGCCAAAAGGTGTAGTAACTTGGTAGGCAGAGTGTAAAACACGAAAATAGTCGACGCCAAGGGTGTATATATGGGCAGAAATAAAATAAAATTTAATAAAACAAAAATAATTATAAGAAGAAATGAATAGTAACTAAAACTGAAATAAAATGAATAAGAAAGAGGAAGTAGATATGGCCATATACCTTAATGGGCGAGCAAAAAAAAGCCATTGTTCTGCATCAAAAAATAGGAGCCTTCAAATTTCCTGGCTGCAGTCAACGTATGCAGAAACACAACGTCACTGTCTATCTGTCTCTAGTTTTTCTCCCTCTATTTACCAGTTATTAATCAGGCATAATTTTGAGGGTTTTGAGGTTTAACTGTAGCCCAGATTTTGCAATTCAGTCCTCGCGTGGACATCAAAATTTTATCATTTGCATATCTGCGATTGTTAATGTTTCTTCCAGCTTACTATCACTAAAACCATGGGTAAATTGCCGGTGTTACTTAAAGAAGTTCTTCAATAGAAATGATTCGTTCCGTTCGAAAAACCTCAGGTATAAAAACTTTTTTTTTCTCCTGGGCTGTAAGCAATGGAAAATATCATTATTGATCATTTTTGTATACACCATATGCTTCCAGCTTCAACCTCTGTTCATCAGACGCGTTTGCTCTTGTCCGTCGTTATTTTCATGATTGGAGGTGTCAAGCTTTTACGGCAAGGATTGATGACGGTGTGCACGATTTCCTTTTAAGGAAGTATGAATATACCACACATGTGAAGGATAAAGCGAACCAGTTTCATTTTCCAAACTTTCCTTGACAAAACTGTTTACTGAAAACGAAACAGAACGCAAACCGTCGTTAATATAATATATTTCCTTTCAGCTGCTGGATCCACGAATCCCTGTATTCTTGGTCACTGTCCGGGCCAGTTTGCCTCAGCATGATCGCCAATCTTGTCTTCCTCATAAACATTGTTCGTCTTCTGCTTACCAAGTTGCACTCGGCAGCGCATACTAGTCCAAGATCTTCCTTTAAAGAAAAAAACCCCTCGATACGTTCAAAAAGGTATGCACGTTTACATAAAAGCATTTAACTAAAGAAAATAATTTTAACAACCTATTTATGTACATTTTAGCAAAGGATTTTATTTTGAATTTAGTGAGGTTTGGATAGTTAAGAACTTCACTTTATAGGAAAGAAACAATAAAGAGGTGTTACTTACTTGTGCCTCAAACTAAAACATTTTATTTCTACCTACTTTAACCCTATTACAAAATGCGCTAACCACAATAAGAGTAAAAATTGCCCTTATCAATACATGTTTTAATGTATAAAATAATTTAGAAAATTACATTCCTTATGTTTGACTGGTGTGTTATTTTATATAATTATTATTTTTGTTACTGTTAATCAACCGTGTTCGTACGGGGTGATGTAATAAAGAAACATCCGAGGTCAAATTTCGAAATAAATGACTGAAAAAAATGACTACACACATTTTATTGTTGTTAGGTGGACCTCGGAGGTTCTGACTCTTAGAAGATGGGTTATCTTTCAGGATTGTGTAGTTGTATATTGTACTGATATGTTTATGTGCAATGGTGTGTGGCGAGCGGGGGGGGCACCAAGTGGTTGGTGGCGCTCATTGTTGTGTAATGTGAGTGGTAGAATATTGAGTACCGTATCGACCTAACTTAGGTTAGTTATATAATAAATATAAAGGGTGTATATAGGAAAGAATTTAAGAGTGAGTGAGATAGGTAATCGGTTTGGATTTAGGCCTGATTGCATTGGGGGTTGAAATGGCCGGCTGATGATAGACCAAGGATCCTCATCTCGACGGCTGGACAGATAAGACTAAAAAGGTGGACTGCAAGAAGTGATTGTTTAAACTCTGTGCACAGATTTGAGCTAATTTAAATCAGAAATCAGACAACTGCATTTGGACAGACAAGTTATTTGGGCGAATCTACAATTATAGAAACTCCCTAGATTATCCTGCAAAGCTGTTTATAATTCTGATATATAACTGAAACCTAATAAACTTTAAATCCTAATAAATCTATTTCTATGAGATCTCTATTTCTCTAAATTACACATTTCTTAGAGTTGCACATAAGAAACCTTTGTCATATTAAAAATATTGTGGAATAAATGTATAATTGTGGAATAAACATAAATTACAAACCTTTTAACTGGGGCAATGAGTTATTCATGACAACAGTTAAATTAACTTACTTTCTACTTTTTGAAAATCACTTTTTAATTACAAAATATCACTGTTAAATACAAAAACGAAATGAGATTTATTTTTATTTATTTTTACCCTTGCCAGGGCTCGAGGGGCTAATATACTCTAAGCCATTATTTAGCCCTATCTGATAACAAAACCAAATAAAAACTTGGATTTTTAGTTTTATGACCCTTTAATTTATATTCACATGAACGGAGAACACTCGACTTCCTTTGCATGCTTTGTAAAGACAGGACATGTCTCTCGTATTTAACAAGTTACGCTTGCCTAGAAGAAGTACTATCAGCAGCCAGGGTCTCCCTTCCGGAAGGACGAAGAAGGCTGTTAGGGCAACGTTGATTCTCATCCCTTTATTGGGTTTGCAGTACATAGTTACCCCGTTTCGGCCAGAACAGGGCACATCCTGGGAATATCCATATCAGGTCACTTCTGCCTTGGTAGCAAGTTGCCAGGTAATTAAAAAAAAATTAAATTGAAAACCTTCCAATATTCATGTTTGGCATGTTTTCAGGGACTATGTGTTGCGTTGTTGTTTTGTTTCTTCAACGGAGAGGTATTTTTATTTAACTTAAATTTCCTGAAGGAAGAAAATTCAAATTTTGCCTTGGTTTTAGGTTGTAGCGGCCATGAGGAAAAGGTGGCGACAGTGCAGGCTGAGTAAAAAGCCACCATGGCACTCTTGCTCTGGTGTTACTTCAGTTTCGGTATGTTACATGAATGTTTATTTTTCAATCTGATTTTCAGACTTAATCAATTTAGTGATTATAAAGTAATGATTTTCATGTCGATCTAGTAATTAATTATTAATTACTAATCGATTTATGCCGACACTTCTCTTTACAAGAATATTCCATCTTTTCTTAGAAGTTGTTCCATTTTCAATTTTTTCAACCAAAGAAAAGTTGGAACATATTCTCCTCATATTTATAAGGTTTATTCCTTTCGAAAAATTCATTAATCCTTGCATGTTCCAAAAAGAATGTTTAAGGTTATAACATTTAAAACTAACCTGATATAAATATAAATAGAAATTAAGTGTCTGAAACAAACTGTCAGATCAAAACCGTGAAAGTTTCATACAATTATTATAATTTTATAATTTAAAATGCAAAAAAAATATTTCTGATCAAAACCTAACAAAAATTTTAAGTTTATTTCTGGTAATTAAAACAGCCATTTATGGCTACTAAATACATATATGGATTTTTTATGATGTAATAAAATAGAAATGTAATAAAAATAATACAAAGTTTGCTAGTGTTTTGTATTGACTTGTACTGTTAGTTCAGTAGATCATCCATTGGGCAGGAGCTGGCCGGTGGCAATAACGGTTGTGAGGCTGGCAGCACCGCTCCAGCAATGCACATAGACAGCCTCGCCTTCGGCAACTGTCAGCTGTAACATCGCAGGGATCAAACTAACCCCGATGCTTGGCAAATTTATTAACAAATTTAACTAACATTGTTTCCAACGTAAATGCAGGGTGATGCTCCAAAAACATGTATTTTTTACAACGAGGACGTTCATTTGTTGAACGTTAATGTACAAACTAAAAAAGTGGCGATTTTATCTGGGTCATTCAGATGAAATATCATGCTTTTCAAAGTTTTCTCTGTTGTGAATATATGAATGAACAGTAGAATAGAAAATCAATATGCACACATTTTAAATGACAAAAGATTCATCCCATCTGAATAATAGTCAATATGTTTTAAATAACATATCATTCAGAAATAAGTACGTATTTGCTTTTTTCATTATATGATTAAATGAATTATACTATAAGAGGGAATGAAGATAAAGTAATCTATATAAACTATATGTTGCTCATATACATTAGTAAACACCATATTAATAATTAAGTCCAAGATTGAACCTATCGTGTCTTCCTTGTCCACACAGTAATTAACAGTTTTTCCTTTTTTTTCTTTTTTTTAATAAAACAATTCTCAGGGTATTGTATTTTTATTGTAGATCAATGAACTTAATTGAGCTTTCGTGGATTACTTTATTTGTTGAAACAACAAATATTGTAAATAATAAAATCATTTGATGGGACCTTTTAAATATAAGATTCCGAGAAATAGTTTTATTCTATAGATTTGTATAAATCATAATTTGATTAAATTCTAAATAAATAAACTATATTTTCTCTGAGTATTTACTCACAATTGGTACAAACTTTATGAAATTAACTCTTTATTGGAATAATTATTATAATATTATGTCAGTTATTATTTAGATGGTACAGATGTTCAATGATGAAAGAATATTGAGTGTTAAGTATTTAATGTCGACATTCAATTTTAAGTTTATAATTTAACAAAAATATATTTATATATAAAGTATATTATAACGACTACTGATATGTAAAATAAATTTTGATGATCAATAAAATAAGTCCAACACACACTTTTTTTAAATACCATGATTCCAATTTTAAATGTAATACAAAATTTAATTATTGCCAAATTTTCCATACAAACAAAGTCAAACTGTCTGAACAGTTTCGCATTTTTTAAGCTCTTGTTTACATTTTTTCATTTGTTACATACATCTCATATTTATTGTTTTTTCACATTTTATTTTATTTATATTTTTTATTTATTTATTAGTTTTATTTATTTAGTTTTTATTTAATTTAATTTATTTATTTTATTTTTATTTTTTTTTTTTTTTTNGGTACTAACTTTATGAAATTAACTCTTTATTGGAATAATTATTATAATATTATGTCAGTTATTATTTAGATGGTACAGATGTTCAATGATGAAAGAATATTGAGCGTTAAGAATTTAATGTCGACATTCAATTTTAAGTTTATAATTTAACAAAAATATATTTATATATAAAGTATATTATAACTACTACTGATATGTAAAATAAATTTTGATGATCAATAAAATAAGTCCAACACACACTTTTTTTAAATACCATGATTCCAATTGTAAATGTGATACAAAATTTAATTATTGCCAAATTTTCCATACAAACAAAGTCGAGCTGTCTGAAGAGTTTCGCATTTTTTAAACTCTTGTTTACATTTTTTCGTTTGTTACATACATCTCATACTTATTGAGTGTTTTTCACATTTTATTTTATTTATATGTTTTATTTATTTATTAGTTTTATTTATTTAGTTTTTTATTATTTTTTTTTATTTTATATTATTTTTTTTGCTTTGTGACTAATAAACTAACCAACTGGTGTTTGAGTTGATGCTGGGTAGTCTGCAAGTCGGTGAACTCATGCTGAACTGGGTTTGGATAACTTATTGGGTCTGTCTTCACTCCCAGGTTATGTAAACTATTTAACATATTTCGGCATTGCGCTACATCAATGCTGAAACATGTTTGGGTAGTTCAACAAACCCGCAAGTCAAGACAGACCTAATAAATAACCCAATGACGGTTCATACCTACATACAACTGATGTAGGTTTTTGTGGTTTGAGGTTAGAAAATGCTGAATTTTTCTGGACAAACAAATCAGTATTTTTGATAAAATCTGAATTTTTCTCATTTTTCAGAGACATCGAAGGATATGGTGAAACCCAGTGAAAACAAGAAATCTCAAACAAACGATGTGAGTTTATTCGTAAGGTTTAGTCTTCATTAGTACTCGAATGATCATGTGTAAGTATGTATTTTCAAACAGATTTGTTAAATTCCCTAAATAAAATAATGTCCCTTTATTTTTTTCAGTGTTTGTTTTGTCATTTTAACTAGACAGAAACTGAAATGAATGTTGATTGTGATTGTACGAAGTTAGTGGTATTTATTTATGAACTACTACAATGAAATTTATGTATTTATAACTTGTGGCATTATAAAATATAAGTTTTTTAATAAATGTGTTCTTGTTTAATACAACTGTAATAGTAAAATCTAGTTTATTCCATATTTTATTACAATGGTACAAGGTAATAGCTAGGATTATGAAGAGGAGACATAAATCAGTCTAGAAAATATGATGGTAGCTTTTTTTTATTTACATACATGCCTAGTATGGCATAATGAGTATCAACACATATTTTAGGTATTTTTTTATTAAGAGGTGTGTAAGTATAAAGATGCAGTTACAGTTCTAAAAAAAATTCCTAGTTCTAGACATTCATCTTAATAAAATAATAAACTGTAATTTTAAGAATTTAATCATTGCTAAAGCCTGTTTATAAAATGTGCTCTGATTTCGTTAAAATCAAAACATCTTTATAAATTTATTTACAAATGAATAAACGTATGTTTGGACAAATTTTATATTTACACAGTTTTAAATTCTTATGAATGAATTATAATGAGATAAAAGCATTGTGCCTAGCGGTCACATGAGATTTTCAGCTACTCGAGTTTGATTGCAAGAGTGACTGCCATGGGTTCTTTTGTGCATTCGCATGCAACTGTACATCACTAACTTCGATTCCTTATTCATTTTCATTATCCCAAGTAATAAATAGTTAAATCCTAATTGCCAGTAATAAATATTTATTCAAAGTAATTCTACAAAATGGTAGGGGATTGGCTTAATTTTTTTTATTCAATAAGGTGAAAACAAAAACTCTTTTTGACAGCTTCTCCTTTTGTTCTCCACATCCAGAATATAATGGCAAACGAACTCCAAACGTTTTCAGGTTTGCTGTATTATTATTTAAGACGTGCGTCGCTGATAAGTAAAAAAATATGGGTGCATAAAATTTATAGAACGTCCGCTTTCCCCCGGGTGCCATACAGGGCTGTACCGTATCAGCTCAAGGGCAGTGGCACGGTGTATTCTACGAGGTGGGCTTGAAGGATAGTCTAGTGGCAACTCCGAAAGCCGAATTGGTGATTATGAATGATATAGGATGGAATCATAAAGGCGGAGCAACTGCAGTTTTTCGAGATGTTTACGCCAGAAAGTAATTTAATTTGAATCACAGTTAAAGGTGACTGTTGATCTTAAAAAGGGGGGGGGGGGTCTCGGTTATGCCAGTTGTTGTTCTCAAGGCATGATAGAAGGCTGTACATCTTCCGTTTCCTCGACTCTTACGATTGTCTCCGTTATTCTTCAGTTTTAGTTTATTTCTTCATCAAACGAGTCCGTGCAAGTAGCCAATATTGGTCACAAAAAGGGGGCCGAGAAGACTGGCTGGAAACCATCACGATTTGCAAAACAAGTTGCTTCTGGCTGAGGCCCGCTCGAGCTCGACGCGGAGGCCGATTCTTCCGACGAGGGCGACTCGTAACTGGTGGTAAGTAAACTTTTGCCTTTGCTCTTCATTGTGACTAATTGGTTCCTTGCGAAGATTCCAAATTATTGCTTAATTTCAACATTTTTATTTTATTTTTATTTTAGTTAAATTAATTTACCTTCATTTCATTATCATTTTTATTTTTATTTTTCTTCGGCAATAGCAGAAACACGAGAATATTCCCGATTAGATGTAAAAAATTGATTGGTCTGTAGGAACAAGGAAGGTGAGTTGGTTCGTTTGGTTTAGGAATAACCATTATTGAAGAGAATAATTCTATCAGAAAGTTGGTGATTTTATTAACTGAGTTACGATGCTTCATATTATGTTACAACTGCCGGTTTGACTGAGGAATAATCCACAGTTGTGATCACAGCCAAAGGAAGCATACTTAGAATTCATACTTCACCAAGTCCGCAATTGTATTTCATTTGTCTACAGACTTTCTATTGTACTCATTGAAATAGTACATTTATACGTAAAATCATAAATGCAAATTTATTAATTTTTAATGAAAATGTGTTTGTGATTTAAACTTTTAAACTCAATATTGCATCTGAAATCTATTTTATAGTTTTTACAAAATCATTAATGTATTGGATAATTTGTAGACTTGAATAAAATATAGCTAATATATACGAAATAGCTATTTAATTTTTTTTGTTTTTGAACATCATAAATTTTAAAATAATATCCCAAGAACTAAAATAATAATTTCAACATAGGTAACATTATTTAAGAGTTTATAATACACAGCATATTATAATTTAAGCAAAAGTAATAACAGAATAAATAAAAATATAAATAGGATATTTAGATCTGTTAGCAAATGATATTAATTTTAAATTGCAATAGTACGGATTTCACTGGTTTATGAGGTTTGTTGCAACAAATTTGTGCTAATATTAAATATGACTACTGTAGGAAAGTATTATATTTATTTCTTTTTGCATAATATTCTAACCATTTGTACATTTATAGACGCCAATAATTAGATAAGAATAATTGTAAATACTTGTTCAAAAATATTATAAATATCAGAGCGCTATTCCCAATTTTTGTATTTATTAAATCCTTTTTACGAAAATAGATTAAACACTATTTTAAACATTTACATTTCACATGTACAAGATCCTATTGTTGACTATAGGTAGGAAGTTTTACTCGATTTGCCCCATAGTTTCGAGAAAGGCACATGTCTTGCTCAGACAATTTCCCTGGTCTGGGTCGCCGTCAGATTTCCATTGTCGGCCGCCCTCCGCCTGATCCGTCGGCCCATTGCTTTGAACGCACAGTGAACATCGACGTTGGCAAAACAGAACAGCACACTCACACAGAAACCCTGCAGACAAAGTCAAATATGAAGTTAAAATGTAAAATTAACTGGTTACATTATTGGAATGTTTATTATTGCCTATTAACTTTCTTGGCTAGTCATTTATTATTTTTCTTGCCTGCAGTTAATACCTAATAGACAATACCAATACATACATAATTAAAAATAAAAGTAACTATAAAACCTAGGATGTTTAATTTTTCTTATATCTTTGATGGTTATGGCTGCTAACTCACAACTAATTTCCAATTCATACTACATAAACTAAGGCACCAAGTTTAAAAATTTTCAACACAAAGCGTAAATGTACTATATACATGTAAATAAAACATGAAGGGTTTCTCGAAGTAACATTTAACTTTATTTTAACTTTAACTTTAATTTAACTTTATTTTTTAACTTCGTTTGTGGCACAATGGTCTAATTTTTAAGCTAATGCATTACATATTTCCCAGTTATTAAATACATCTTATCCATAGGTATTTAAATAACAGACAATTTTTCATCGTCATTTCCAATAGTCAATCCATCATCTACAATGCCTGTGGCTGCCACAAGGCTCAGTTCTTAGCCACACTGTATTAATAATTTTTGGATGTTAAAGTTATTAGCTACATGTTTAAAATATAATTTAATAAAATAACACGCCTTTTTTTCTT